CAGCATCTCGCGGCGGCGGATCCGCTGCGCGGCGGCCAAGGTACGTGCGGTCCCGGCTCTGCACCGCCTGAGTCACCAACAAAGCGCGGCTCGGCGGGCGGGGGAGTGCGGGTTGCGGCGGGGACCTAGAGCCTAGGACTGGCAGGGAAGCCTGGGTGGGACGGGCTCCTTGGGGCCTGACTATTTCTTGTTTTGTGATCGTCACCTTCCTCGCCCACAGTCCCTGGTGCTGAGGGCTCTGCCCTCCGGACATCAGTTCTTGGGGGACGGGCGCAGCTGGGGCCTGGCCGGGAACTTTGTCGGGTGTGGGGGAGTCACTGATGGTTTCAGGTGGGTTGTATGATTCCAGTCCTTGGGGTTCATTGAACACGCTTGCTCTGCCGCCGCGGTGAACTGAGGTCGGCTGCTTTCCCCGCTGACAATGCGTTTCCGGGGACCCCTGCGCGCCGCAGAAAGGGGCTGCATGTGAGGGGGATGTGCCCGCGGCTCTCAGTGTGTGTGTCGCGGCGCGTGTAAGGGGCTCTCTAAGGTCTGTCAGCGTGGATTTCTGACCGTGGGACGTCTGTGCGGGAGAGTGTATAAATGGTGGTACATCCAAGTAGTGTGGCACCGAGTCTTAAGTGTGTGCCTGACCCCACCATGCCCTGAAGCGGCCCGCTATCCCGAGGGACCCCTAAAGCCTGCCTATCGCTGGATCGAGGGTCCCTAAGGGTCATTAGTCCTAGCATCATTCCCTTTTCTTCACCACTCCAGCACTCTCGGCTAGGGCTGCATAGTGGGGAGAGTCACGAGCTGATGAACCCGACTCACGTCCCCTCTCCTTGGTCCTTCGTGCAGGGCCGGTCAAGGAGTGCGCGGAGGGCTTGTTCCGATGCCGGAACGAGCGCTGCATCCCTTCTGTGTGGAGATGCGACGAGGACGACGACTGCTCGGACAACAGCGACGAGGACGACTGCCGTGAGTGGCCAGCCGCCTCGGGCCCCGGAAGGAAGAGAAAGGGGGTGTGGGGTGGCAGGGGGCACGGCAGGATCTGGGGGCACGGCAGGATCTGAACGCACGAGGCTGAATCCGCCGAGGGCCACCTGCGCGGGCCCTGCTGCCTGCGTCCGTGCTCGAGAAGCCACACCTGGGCGGCGCCGCTTCCCTCAGGGCCTTGCGGCTCTTAGCGACCAGGCAGGAGCTAGGGGACCGGCGAATGGGGTTGGGGCCGAACCTGGTCAGTGTGGCCCAGGAAGAAAGCGATCAGCACCCAGGCCCTTGGGCCGTAACTGCGGGCGGGCACGCGGGCACGCTTCAGTCTCTCCACACGCTAGTGCTTCCCGCGCTCCGGCCTTCTCAATGCCCATCTCGGCCCCACGGGACGCGCGCGTTGAAGTTCCACGCGGGAGCTTGGGGCCGCGCCGCGCTTCTTTTCCGGGTTTGGTTTTTGTGAATGAATGGACTCCCCGGGGCCCCTGATTGGCTAGGAAAGGACCACCCCATAGGCCCCCGTGGCCTGAACGGCCAATCCTGGAGCGGCCTCTGTGTAGTATTGGGGCGCCTTAGGCGCTGGGGACCCTTCCCTGGCCTCTACCCGCGCGAATTAGGGAGGGTAGGAAGTGCGAAGGGGCCGGAGCCTCGGCGGCAACTGCTTTTATGCCGAGTCACGGTGCAGCCCTTGTTAACCTACCGTGGTCTTCTGTTTGCCTAGCCTGGGCGTAAGTCACCGGGCGGACCAGGAAGGAGGGAGCCAAGAGGAAGAGTTTGTTTCCTGGAAGCGGCCCAAGGAACCCAAGGGCTAGCGTGAGCCCGCTGCCTGGTGCACGTGGCGGGCTGCAATTACTGAGCTAGGTGTTTGAAAACCCGGGTGCAACTTCTTTTGAAATTTCTTTGCGGAGTGTGTGCAGGTTCGAGTGTCTTTAGAACACCAAGCGAGTCTGCGGACAGTTGCCGCGGTAGAAGGAACGTCATTTCAGAACAGAAAAACCTGGCTCTTCCAGAAAGTTAGACTCAGGTGGTCATTCATTGTTACTGAGCACCTGCTATGTGCCAGGCACTGGGGCACTCTGGAGAGAGGAGGACGACAGGTGGACAGAACCATAGCTAGCAAGCATTGCTTAGGTGAATTACAGGGACGACTGTACAAATATCCTTTTCATTAAGTAATGCATTCTTGTATTTGCCAGCCAGTCTCAGCCATGGTCCCTCTCTGTGACCCGATATAGCTTGGTGACTTGAGCACATTTTTCCTACCTGACCACCTGGGCTAATAATACCTGCCCTGGAAGCCTCACAAGAGTTACCATACCACCACCCTAAGAGTCCGTTTTAATAATATAATCAGAAATAATGAGACTAACAGATGTTAACTGACTGTTAACTGTCGCACGTTGTAGGAAGTGTTTGCCTTATATTATCAACTCCTTTCATTTCACAACAGCCCTATTTTACAGATTTAAAAACTGAGACATAGCTGAGAGGTTACATACCCCCATCACTATTGAGCTGCTAAGTAGGAAACTGAAAATAGGCAGCTGACTCCAGAATTGTTAGCTTCATCTTGACCTTGGTCATTTCCCACAGCTATTAAAGCTATGAAAATGGCTTTTCTCAAAACCCCCATCCCTGGGAGATGTTCTTCCATGGTTCCTTTATGGCCCGGGTGTAGAGAATGAGGCAGGGGAACTAGGAACTGTTTTTATGGGCTGATGTTATACCTTATCTCGCTGGCTATTTCTAACAATATCCTTGTGACAGGTGGCTGTGAAGAGCAGAAGTTCTCATCCCATTTTATAGATAAGGAAGCTGGCTCAGAAGAGTTGAGTGGGTTGCCTAAGGTCACCCACACAGAACAGCAGACTCGGTCAGACTGTGCTTGCTCCCTAGCTTGGTTGAACATGCAGAAGCTGGGGCATGTGTATTCAGGAGGTGGAAAGTCGCTCTCAGTGCTTTTTAATTTCCTCACAAAGCCTTGGGCAGGATAGAGGAGTGAAGTAGTGGGTGGTTGGTTGACCCAGGTGGGACTCTGGGAGTGCACATGGCCAGTCTGGCCTCCTGTTTTGTTTCTGAGGTAGATGGGGTGAGGTCAGGGTGGAGAATGATGTTGAGGGCTTAGAGTGGAAAGAATGGGTGTTGCTGATAGTTGTTGCTAGTTTTTATCTAATTGATTCTGGCTCATGGTGACCCTGTGTATGCAGAGTAGAACCACCAGGTTTCCAAGGCATGAGGCAGATCACCAGGCATCTCTGGGTGGATTCGAACTGACAACCTTTTGATAAACTCAAATGCTTAATTCTTTGTGCCAGTCAAAGACATATCTAGTGATAGTACCAAGTATAGGCATGTTTTTGTTAGGTGCCATTGAGTCAGTTCTGATTCGTAGTAATCTTATGTATACTAGGACCCAGTCTTGTGCTATCCTCACAGTGTTGCTATGCTTGAACCCATAGTTGTAGACACTGTGTCAGTACATGTCATTGAGGGTCTTCCTCTTTTTCACTGACCCTCTACTTTACCAAGTATAATGTCCTCTCCAATGACTAGTCCATCTTGATTAATTTGTCCAAAGAACGTAAGATGAAGTCTTGCCATCTTTGCTTCCAAGGAGCATTCTGGCTCTATTTCTTCCAAGACAGATCTATTCATTCTTTTGACAGTTTGTGGTATATTTCATATTCTTTCCCAACATAATAATTCAGATACATCGATCCTTCTTGGGTCTTTTTTATTTATTGTCCAACTTTCATGGACGTAGGAGGCTATTGAAAATACCATTGCTTGGGTCAGGCACAACTTAGCACTCAGAATGTCATCTTTGCTTTTTTAACACTTCAAAGTGATCCTTTGCAGCAGATTTGCTCAATGCAAAATTTCCTTTGCAGCAGATTTGCTCAGTACAATATAGTCATACTTCAGAGATACTACAGTTTCTGTCCCAGCAATAAAGCAAAAGTCACGATAAAACAAGTCACGCAAAGTTTTTTGGTTTCCGAGTACATATAAAGATTATATTTACACTATACTGTAGTCTGTTAAGTGTGCAATAGCATTATGAAAACCTTAGAAATACTGTGAGAATTGCTAAACGTAACAAAGACACGAAGTGAGCATGTGCTGTTAGAAAAATGGTGCCGATAGACTTGCTCAATACAGGCCTACCACAAATCTTCAGTTTATGCAAAAGGGAAAAAACAAAATATCTTTGAAGCACAAGAAAACGAGGTATGCCTGTATAAGTTGTACACGACTTCACTTTTTTGAGTTTCAGTTTCCTCATCTGCTAAATGACAGCAGCAGTTCTTGATCCTCCATAGGGTATAGACTTGGAAGACTCAAAAAGTGAAGACAGTTAATGAGTTCATACTTCCAGGGTCTTAGAGGCTTCTAACGGCTACAAAAGGAAATCTTGAAGTCAGGGGGTGGGAGTTTGGGACGGCTGGGTTGAACCAGGTGTGTGAAAATATTTTTTTTCATTCCCTCCTTCTCCATCTGGGTGCGGGGTTCTCCCCAAATTCTGGACCACCTGCTTAAACTGAGTTTCTTTTAAGTACCCTCCTCTTAAAGCTGTCGGCTTCTCCCTGAGCAGCCACCCTGCCTCATTCCTGTCTTCCTTCAGAGTTCCATACCTTCTCACCCCCACCACTTTCTGGAGACGACAAGAGTCACCCCAGTCCTGTACCTCTTGATCTTCAGAATGGGGTTTGTCATTTGTTTGTAAATGAAGTCTGTGAGACAGAATGAGTCCAAGCTTCCAAAAGGGCTGGTGAATGCATAGATAAAGGCTGGAAGGAGGGGACCTTCAGTGTTGAGGCCAAGGAAGGGATCCTAGAAGAGGGGGGCAGCAGACGGTAATTGACACCCTTCTTTCCTGGTTTACTGTTTTTAAATATGTGGTTTGTTGTTGTTACTGTCAGTTGCAGGCATTTCCAACTCATGGTGACCCCATATGTTACAGAGAACTGCTCCAGCCACATAAGATTTTAGGTTGTAATCTTTTTTTTTTTTTTGAAGTTTTTATTGTGAATAAAGTGATAGTTTTAGTTTTACATGGAGGAACATCAGTTCATTTCATTGCTATGATTACAATCCCCTTCATTCTTCATCATTCAACAGTATTTGCTTCTATTCCCTCTGGGTTTTTTTTGTTTGTTTGTTTGTTTGGACGTGCACCAAAACACTCAGGAATATACAATCATTCAAACAGCCAAAGGGCACACCCTGCACCCCACCCCACCCCACTACCCCTGCTGGCTGCCAGCACATTTCCTCTCTCCCTCCATGAGTCTAGAACCCTCAGCTGTTCCGTCTCTCCATGTCATCATCTCTGCTTCCATCTCTGGATTGCCGCTTCTCTGGGTAGGATCCCACACTCTGTTCCCGCTCTTCTCTCTTGATGGTCCCAAGTCCTCTGCTCCTGGACAGTAATATCGACCATGCATTAGGTTGTAATCTTATGTGGTGCTGTAGGTCAGAAGTTCAAACCACCAGCTGCTCTTTGGAAACCCTATACAGGATCACTATGAGTTAGAACCAACTCAATAGCACTTAACAACAATCTTAATAGAAGTACGACCTCAGGCCTTTGCTTCCAAAGTATCACTGGGTGGGTTTGAACTTTTAGGTTAGCAGTTAAATGCAAACCAGTTGTACCAACTAGGGAACTAAGCTGTTTGCATTTTGAAAAGAAGAAAACTGAGGCTCAGAGAGGTGAAGTGACTTCCCTTAAGTTCTTCAGGATTGGAGCCAGAACTCAGATTAACCTAACTTTATCAGTTGCTGTTGAATCAATACTAACTCATGTGTGTTGGAGTAGAACTGTGCTCCACAGGGTTTTCAATAACTGGTTTTTCAGAAGTAGATCACCTCTAGCTAGACGGGAATTGACAACCTTTCATTTAGTAGCCAAATGTGTCCATTGTTTATATCATTCAAGGACTCCAGGACTCAGAAGTTCATTAGCTGGACAAGGCCAGGCCTTG